GACCGGGAAAAAAAAAACCTTGGGGCTTGTTTAAAAATTTTCAGCTAAAGCAAAGAAAATCTATTACGTTTACGGTTTTTTTCTATTTACCACAAGAAAAAAAACATTTTTTGGGGCTTTTTTGGCAGTTCTTGGGGCTGGGATTGGGAAAGATTGAGAATTCCTCCAGGGAAAAAAAAGCTGGGGGGAAAAAAAGCCCCCAAAAGCCTTTTAAAAACCCGAAAGGGCTTTGGAGGGGAACTTGGTAAAAACCAATCGTGCCCTTCCCTGGAAAAAAAAAGGGGCAAAACCTTTGCAAATTAAGGTTCAAAAAAAAAACTCCCCAACCACGGCAAAATTAAAAGCACAAAGCAAGAAAAGAGAGAAAAAAAGAGAAAAATATTCCCCCACAAAAAACAACATTGGCACAAAAAAGAAAGGAGATTAAAAAAAAAAAAAAAACAAAAACATTAATACCACAAAAAACACAAATTAGGAAAAAAAAAATGTCCAATTTTTACAAAAAAAAAAACCCTTCAGGGGTTGGGGTTAAAAACACTTTGGTTGCCATTTTTTTTGCCCTTGAATTTTCAAAGGGAATTTTAAAAAAAAAAAAACTATTTTTCTTTAATTAAATTTTTCCAATCCAAAAAAAAAAAAATCCAATTTTCTTCCGGCTTCCGGTGGGTTGGCTTTTCGCGGTAAAAAAAAACATGCAAAAAAGCTTAAGGTTTAAAAAAAAAGGGTAATTGGCCAAAGACATTCCCCTCTCCCCCAAGCCAACGGTTTTTTCCAGTTCCCTTCTTGGAAAATTTTCCCGAAGGGGCATTTTCCATTGCCAAGATTAAAAAAAGATAAATTGTAATTCCCTCCATTGGGGAGTTCTGGGTTCTACCCCAAAGGGGTCTTTTCCTCCTTTTTTTTGATGGCGAAAAGGAGCAGTGGGCTTCTTTTTGCCCAAAAAAAAAAAAACTTTCCCTCAGGATGGGTTTCCCAAAAGATTCCATCACCCTATATCAAAGGGCTTGATCTGAGCTAACCCCTTAAAACAAAAGAAAAAGGGGGAAAAAAAAAAAAAAAAACTCATTTCGGCCTCTTTTGTAATTCCCACAAATTTTCTTTCATCTTTGGGGTTCGCTTAAACCAAAAAAAAGTTTTGGGTGGGATTTTTGTTAATAACATTATCCAAAAAATTTGCTTTTTCCCAATGGTTTAGGACAAAAGTTTAAAAACCTTTGCATTGGGTTTCCAAAGCTCCCAAACTTGTGCAAAGCAAAGGTTTTGTGAAATATTTGTGAAGGATGGCTTTTGTGAAAAAGTGCTTTTTTTGGAAAAAAAAAAAAAAAGCGGATTGCCAGTCTGTTTAACCATGAAAAGGAGGGAGGGCATTGTTTCGGCGTTTTTTGGGAAAATTCTGTTTGTGGTAAAAAGGTTTGGAACAAGGGGAAGTTAAAAAA